TCCTCTGAATGCTACATATTAACTCAGTTCAAATGTCACTTCTTCTTATTTTATTTTATTTATTTTATGTTTTGGCTGCGTTGGGTCTTTGCTGCTGCGCGCAGGCTTTCTCTAGTTGCGGTGAGCGGGGGCTACTCTTCGTTGCGGTGTGCGGGCTTCTCATTGTGGTGGCTTCTCTTGTGGAGCACCGGCTCTAGGCACACGAGCTTCAGTAGTTGTGGCACACGGGCTCAGCAGTTGTGGAGGACAGGCTTAGTTGCTCTGAGGCATGTGGGATCTTACCGGACCAGGGATCAAACCCGTGTCCCCTGCATTGGCAGGCAGGCAGACTCTTAACCACTGCACCACCGGGGAAGTCCCAAATGTCACTTCTTAGAAAAGGCTTTCCTGGAGCTCTGGCATCTCCACCTCCTCCCACATTTCCTAATTGCTGCCAAGGTGTAAGCATTAATTATCTCCTTATTCTAAACACTCCAAAGCTTTTACTACCTTTGTAGCATTTATTATTTTATAACTTATATTATGATTGTGTACATATTTATAGTACTAGATCCTACAGGATGCAATTCCAACCAATTCGTTTTTGTGTTCCCCACATCTTCCAATACAACTCCTTGCCTATGATTGGGGTTTAGTAAATATTTTTTGAATGCTTAAATGGAGACCCATTGATCTCTGACTTTTATTCTTGGGGGCTCCCAACAACTGTTTGATCGTCAGGATAAGAGGAATCCAACTCAGTGAGGCGCTTTTCAAGATTTACATTATATTCAAAACAAATTTCAAGCTTTCCAGGTTTTCTGAAGACAGTCCTGTTGTTGCTTCCCATCCTTAGCAACTTTCTATTTCTAGAAATCTTTTTGCTCTCAGTGGAAGGGTTGGAAAAAAATAGTCTTCTTATGGATATCACCCCTTTCAGTGACTCTGAATACAAGCTTCATATGGCTTTTCTATCTCCTGCCCCAATTTGCTTGCATGACACACTTGGAACTAGTATTTTATTGGCATAAAACCCTGAAACTCAATTTTAGGTAAAGCAGATATTCAGTCATATATGAGAGCATTCACATGTGTGTGTCTAAGACGAAGAGGAGAAATACAGTAGCTTCACTGAAATAAAAAGGCCATTCATTCATTCAGTGTTCATTTCCTTGATCATCCACCAGACTTCAGGTGCTATATTATGTGCTGATGATTCAAATATAAATACTGATTCTTGCCTTCAAGGAGCTCTGAGTCATGTGAAGGGAGATGAATATATAATGAGATCATCATTATAGAGTGTAATTCACACAATTCCCTTGGCAAGCACAGGGTAATGTGGAGCACAGAGAATTTTCTTTGAGAGCAGATGGACTATTTTTAAGCAAAGAAAAAAGTTTGCAGCACAGTGGTCATACTCATATCAATAAAATACATATTATTTTGTAGTTATTAACAGCATCACCATCCTTTTCCAACCACTCACCTTGGGCCAGGTGTCAGCATCCATGGCGGGTGCTGAGGCATGATTCAAACAAGCAACCACCCTGGGTTAACCAAGACCCACACTTAAGTCCTTACTCCTTAGATCTTGTAGGAACGAATCATCGAAGGAGATGGCGGCAAAGGGGTAGTGACCTTATGATTCATAGGGCTGAACTTCATGCCAACGATATTCTGGAGCAGACATTTTTGCAGGCTACTCTGTCTATGGCTCCAACATTTTTAAAGGAGTGTAGATAACTCATTAGGATAGCTTATCCAAGTCTATGACCTTGGAGGTGTGTGTGTGTGTCGGGGGGTGTTGGGGGAGCAGTTATGAGGAAAGGCAAGAAAGAAATCCTAAGTTTTAAATGGCCAGTCTACAGCTGGTCTACAGCTGCAAATACTGAGTATTTTGTACAGACCACTTTAAATTTTCTTTTTCTTCACATTTAGGGACACTTTTCTATTCACTAGCAACTCACTGAGAAGGATGGAGTAGGATGACATGAGTCAGAAGTAGAAATAAGAGAGGAAATTAACATCTATTTCAAATTACCTCTTATCAGTGGCTCAGTGAAAGTCTCAAAGAGAGGGGAGGTTGGAGATGTTGGTTAAGATGAGCCTGTAATGTTGCTCTGGATTCTTATGACTACAATTGAAAGAGGTCTATGGCTTGGAGTAATGATGACTTTGGTGATGGTGATCATAATCCATTCAAAAAATATGTATTAAGTACCTGCCACATGCTACCTCTGACCGAGGCACATAAGATTTAAATAGACAAAAAAAAAAAAAAAAAAAAAAATCCCGTCCTTTGGAGCTTAAATTCTAGAAGAAACTGGCAAAAATGTGTTAGCATCCCTCTCCCTGTTAGAAATATTTTCTTCTCATGAGTTCCTAGTCATAAGGGACTTAGTCTTCATCAACTTCCAGCATCAGTGCAAGAGTCACAAAAATGTATCTCTTTCAAAGCTCGCAGACTGATATCTGCTTAAACTGTTTCTGTGAGCAGGGAAACAGACTCTGGTTGAGACGTAGACGTCTCTGTGTATGTGCGTTGAGGGGGCCCGTGCAAGTGTACAGAGGGAAGAAATTCTACAGCGGTCCCGTCCACACGGAGACTCTCCAGCGGGGGGAAATGCACGAGTTCGTACACGAACGCTCCTCTCTACCCCGCTTGCCTTTCTCGCTCTTTCACCACTTTGCTCCCTCCTCCCTTCCTTCCTAAATCCCTCCTTCTCCTTCCTTCCCTCTCGCTTGATCCCTCCCCATCTCCTTGCCTCGAACAGTTTTTCCCTCCTCCTCTATAGCCCTCTCCCTCTCGCCTCTTTCCCTCAATCCCTCCCCGGCGTCTGCGTCAGGCCCCCACTTGCGTGACGCTCAGGGTCTGGGTGGGAGCTGTCCACTCGCCCGGGGTGCTGAATGCACGGCGGCGGCTGCGGCGGCGGAGGTAGCTGAGAGCCTTCTCTGCTCCAGGAACACTGTTTCCAGACCTCGGACGGTCAGCCCACCGCCTGCCACCTCCCTTCCAGCACCACCCCTTTGGGAACTGAGCCGGGGTGTGTGTAGGGGGGCAGCAGTCGCGGCGGGCGGGTGCTGAGCAACAGCGGAAGACAACACCTGGCAGCAGCCTGGAATCTGATTTGCTTCCTCTCGCCTTTTATAAGAGATATATTTATATATGGTTTTGGGGGGTCGCGAGGACCAAGCCGGAGCCAAGTGCTGGCTGCCTCCCGCCTCGGCCACGCCGCTTCGGTTCCCCCTCCCCACCCTCAGCCGGCACCGCAAACAAGCCTCACCTCGCTGCTTCTAGGAAGAGAGGTAGCAACAGCGAGCCCAGCCAGCCAGAGGCGGCGGAGAGGAGGGCGGGGCGGGGGGGGAGAGAGCCGACCGAGGCCGCCCTGGGTAGGGGCCGCGGAGGCAGAGCTGCCCTGAAGACCCGACAGCCGCCCTCCTCCGCCCCCGCCCACCCAGCAGCACTCTGCTCTGATTATTTGAGAAGCGAATTATGCTTATTCCACTAGTGTGATTTCGTCTTCTCTTTCCCCTACTGCTGACTCCTGAGCCGCCCCCGCCCCTACGCCTGCCTTGCCTCCGGCTGCATGGCAGCGCTGCCCGGGCGCGGGGGCGCAGGGCCGGCCCCCCGGGAAGGGGGAGGAGGGGGAGGAGGATCATGAGGCCGGGAGTCTTGGCCGCGTCGGACGGCGAGCGGCAGCCAGAGGACGAGCCCGAGCAGCCCCCGCCCCGGAGACACCCGCACGCCGACAAGCGGTCGCCGCCGCAGCAGCATCGGCGGCCTCGGGCGGACCCGGAGCCAGAGAAGCAGGGCGACAGCGGCCCCGAGGAGGCCCCCGAGGAGAAGGCGAGGCCACCCACCCGCCCGGACCTGCCCTTATCCCGGCCCTTGCCCCTCGCCCAGAGGGACATTTGCTGGCGCCACGGGAAGGGGGCCGAGGATTTACAGACTGCCGCAGGGGCGGGCGGGGGGCTGAGACCATGTAATTACTCCTTCCTCTAGTCCCCTCCCACAAGCCCCTCTTCTCTACCCCGTATCTCTACTCCGCTCTCTGCCTCCCACCCCCCAAGCACACACCCTTCTTCTAGCCAGGATCTTAAAGCTCAGGAAGGAGGTAGCTCTGCAAGGGTTAAACGGTCTTTTCGGTTTTTCCCTTTCTTCCCCCCCCCCCGCCCCCCGCCCTCCAGTCCCTGATTTTCCCACCTCTGTTCTCCTAATTGGCTTTCCCCTCTTCTGTGCAGCCCTTTGGCTGCAGAGGCAAAGCACAAGCCCCTTGCCCAGTTGCACCTGAATCCCTTCCCTACCCCCACCGCTGCTCTCTTAAAAGTAACTCTGGTGCTTCTGGGGGTTAATTGCCCCAGTTTTCTGCCCAGGAGAATTAAAAGTTCTCCCAACCTCCTCTCTTCCCCACCTTACCTCCCTCAGCCCCTCACCACCAACCTCCCGTTACACCTGAGGAAAACTACCTTTTCTCTCTAGCACATGCAGTCTTCAATTCTTCACTGAGCTAGCTTGCCCTAAGCCCAGCTTAGTCCACTCCAAATTTTATTGATAACCTTCCCCACCCTTTTATGTGAAAGAAAAGATTTCCCACTGCCTAGGCATTTGAGAAAAACCCAATAAGCCTCTCCTGGGGAACTTTCTAACAATTAGACCTTGATCTCAAGGCCCTGACAACCCACCCTCAACATTTTTTTTCTACCCCCCCTGCCCCTACCAGTGCCACCAGGTCAAAAGCAAAAAGGAGACACTCTGAGCAAAGCTTAAGGTTGGGGTAGAGGTGGAGGGGCAAGAAAACTTTTGCTGTTGTTGGGCTTTCCAGGTAGAGTTCAGAGGCAGTGGCTCGCAGTCGTCAGTCCTGGGGGCAATTTATTTGCTACGTGGAAGGGAGGTAACAGGAGCCAGTGCGAACGAAGCCTCCCCCATCACACAGACACACCGTGGACCCCCTCAAACGATCCCATCCTCTGCAAAGACTCCGCCTGCCCCTACCGGTCTCTCTGCTTCCACCGGGCACATGCTGATGCCCCAGAGCGGGCTGCCCTGGTGGTGGTGGTGGTACTGCTGTGCCTGGTACCGCTGTGGACTGTGCCTCCCAGCCCCCCAGATGCTGCGCCACCAGGGTCTCCTCAAGTGCCGCTGCCGCATGCTCTTCAATGACCTGAAGGTTCTCCTCCTGCGGCGCCCCCCTCCAGCGCCCCTGCCCATGCACGGCGAACCCCAGCCCCCCGGCGTGGCAGCCAACAACACCCTTCCGGCTCTGGGTGCCGGGGGGCGGGCAGGCTGGAGGGGGCCTCGAGAAGGCGTGGGCAGGGAGACCCCTCCCCTGCCACCTTCAGCGGAAGATGACTGGGGTGGCCCAGCCGCAGAGCCACCTGCCTTGCTGCTCAGCAGTGCCTCTTCAGATGACTTCTGTAAGGGGAAGGCTGAGGATCGCTACTCACTGGGCAGCAGCCTGGACAGTGGCATGAGAACCCCGCTCTGCCGCATCTGCTTCCAGGGGCCGGAACAGGTGAGACCCTTTTTCCCTTTCCCTGCTTCCTTCTGGGATCTCCAGGTCTGGCAGGTTGCTACTCGCCTACTTGCCCTGGGGAACCACTGTGCTGTTTCTAGTGTGAGGACTGTAAGTTTTAAGGGCTCCTCAATGATGTCTCATGTGGTTAAGTTTGCCCAAGAGGTGTCTGGTGCCTGGCGGAGCCTGTTTGGTGGCTCAGTTGTCCCCCATGTTTGCATTTTCCTTCCAGTGCTCAATTGGAATATGTTCAATTCCATCCAAAAATTCCATAAGCATCCTCAGAGTAGAAGATTCAGAAGTTGGAAGGGGTGAAGTGAAGAAACTTGGTGGTACATTCATGCTCGTTGCCGAGGTATCCTTGTATCTGATTTGTGGTTAGTGACATTTCCCCAGCCCATCTTCAGTTCCAGATTCAGACTTCTTCCCTCTCTGATGGTGTGTGGAGACCTTGTCCTCGGCAAGCCTATGCCTGTTCCTTCACTTTGATACTAACCCCTCCCATATTATACTGACATCCACAATCACTGAGGAGGAAATGGAGGGGATTGTAAGTTCATGAAGACTATACAGTTTGTTATAACACTTCTTGGCAGACTCAAGTTTTCCTAGGTTGAAAGCAGGTAGGTAAGTAGGGTGAGAGTGAGTGTAAGGAATATGGAGAAGGAAGTAGGGAGTCTTGTCATAACTATTTCCCTTCTCAGCCCTGAAGCACACAAACTTAGAAAGTCCCTTAAACTCTCCCCATCCAGGATAGGAGATGCTTAGCACCTTATGGACCAGAGTCTTCCCAAGGCCGAGGGTTCTCCCTACCACATGCATTCAGATTTTCACAGACATACTCACCCCACCCCCTCTAGCTCCACTTTCAGTCTAGTTTCTGCAGTGCTGGAGAGTATGTGCACATTCTTCTAGAATCATGAATTGTGGCAACACTTTCCACAGAATCCCAGATCAGAAAGGTTCACCTGATCTAGTTAGTGATGCTGGTGAAAGAACATGCAGTCGCACCCCGGGCAGGGTTATGTGGTCACATCAGCCACTTCTTCACTAGTTTCCCGGAAGTGGGGTAAGACTGCTCGGTGCTCCTTGGACAAGTGGTGGTGTAGCAGGATGCCATGCTGGTGCTCCTGAGTGGCTCTGGTTCTTGTTGAAGGCTTTCTCTGTGAGAGTCAGGCTTCACTGACATTTTCATTCGTTTTGTCTTTGCCCGGAATGGGCAGGGCACTTCAGGGACAGATGATGACTGGGGCCGTGGCCTGGGCGTTATGAGAGGAGGTGATGTTGATCTCAGTGTGAGTAAATGTCTCTGAGAGGCTGAGGGCTGGGTTCCTCCTTCCTGTGACTAGGATTGCCTGAAGTCCCAATTGGACTGCAGCCCAGAGCCAAGGACTCTTGTTAGGCAAGAAGGTCCAGGGTGCCTGCCCAGTGCTGGCTATCCAGCACAGACACAAGGAGGAGTGGCGGGGCTGAGAACAAGAATTGTGCTTCACCTTAGGACGCTCCTGGTCAGCATCTGCCCCAATCAGAAGCCCCATCTTCTCAAAAAAAAAAAAAAAAAAAAAAAAAAGGATTTGTTTAGCTTCCTAACTTCTTAAGCTATTTCTTTCTTCTTCCATGTGCCCTGGTTCAGGTCTGCATGTCACAGGGGCCACTGGGAGTGTGGCTTCTGGCAAGAACACCCTTGTCTCTAGAATACAGCAGGACTTGGAGCCTGTTCTGGAGGATATTTACCTGTTGTGTGAACTTCTTCAGATTTCTTTATACCCTTGAGCCCCTTTTCCAACTTCTGTGATTTAGAGGAACCGTTTTCTGTTCCCCTCATTTGCTTATAAATGTGTTGAGAGGATCCGGAAGATAATGAGCCTGAAAATGACTTGAAAGTGATTAATATATAATGGCATGCATTTTGCTCATGGAAAAGCAGTATTTTGCTAAATAAAAAGGATTATTAGGAATATTGTGAAATACCCTCACGTGATACAGGGTCTGGTTGGAGGTTAGGAGCTTTCTTTTCTTGTTAGTTATTTTTACAATGTGTCATAAATAAAGCGTGGAATAAAGAAAAAAGCTAACACCAATAAAGGAATGGGCTCTGTTATTATGTGGGAGGGATAGGGGGTCACGTTGATACTCAGACTGGATCAAACCAAGCACTCCCCGCATATTATTATTATTATTATTATATTATTATTATTATTATTATACTTTGGGGGTTTGCTTTATTTGCACAGCAGCCAGGAGATTTTGATGGGATTGTGTTATTAGTAATAAGAGTAAAATGTGTTAGATGTGAACACATTTTCCCACTTTTTGCTTGTGTTTCTTCACAGGATTTCAGTGAGGAAGGGAGACAAAGAGGAGGAGGTGGGGAAAACTCTCTAGAGAAGGAAGAGAGGGAGAGAGACAGTCAGACACAGAAAGTGAAAAGCTGAGATTTCAGTATTTTGTTTTCTGTTCAAGGAGGGAGTGTCCAGCAATTGTCCACACGTGGCCCTGAATGGAGTGTAGACAGTCTGCAGTCCCAGTAGCTGAGTGTCTTGGTCTTTTCTCTGCCCAGACAAAGGAATTGAACAGCTCCCCAGTCTTTTGCCACTGCTCCAGGGGCTAAAAGGCTGCCCAAGCCGAAAATTTGGTGTCTTCCTGCCAATGGCTTGAAATGTATGTGGTGAGGGGCAGGAAACTGAAGGGTCCAGCTAGTTCCATATTTGTACGTATCTATAAAGGACTTACTACTTATTCATTCACACATGCATTTATTTAGCAAATGTTTGTTGTGTACCTACAGCATGCCAGATGTTGTTTCAGACCCTGAGTATCCAGGAGTGAATAAAACAGATGAGGTCTCTGCTCTCCTGAACCTAAAGTTCTAGTGAAGACGCAGAAATAAACAAGTAAACTAGTAGACAAATAAAGTGATTTCAGATGGCGTTGAGTGCTGTGATGAAGACAAAATGAGTTAGACAAGAATGAAAGGGAGGGCTTGGGAGCTACATTACACAGAGTGACCAGGAAGAGCCTCCCTAAGGATGTACCATCTGAGCTGATACCTAAGTGATGAGAATGACCCAACGATGCATACATAGGTCTAGAGGAAGAGTTTTCCAGGTGGAGGAGACCCAAGTGTGAACAAGCTTAGCATGTTTGAGAAATAGAAAAGATAGGAGGAGGGAGAGGGATGGGGTGTGAACAAATGCCTTGAGGGCCAACTTGGCTCCAGGCTGGACAGCTGACTGACACTCTCCTTCCCTCAGCCAGTCACTCAGGTGGGACAGGGGTCAGTCGATCAAGGATCTGCGAGAGTGTGGGACAAGAGCCTGGTCGGCAACACTTCACTCTCCATTTCTGCTTGAAGCTCCACTAGTTCACGTCAAGGGACCATGTGCCGTGGTGGGCAAGCTGAGGTCTCCGAAGCCAGATGGCCCCAGTCTGAGGCCTGAACAATTTACACAACTTCTCTGTGCCTCAGGTTTCTCATTTGAAAACTGGGATAATAATGATAGTCCCCAAATTCATAAGGTTATTCTGAGCATCAGATCAGTCCACACAATTAGAGCCATGCTGTCACAGTGTTTGTTGTTGCTGTTATCTCAGAGGCAAGAGACAGTGCCCCTCCCACACACCTTGTTTAAAAGGAAAAAGTGTGCCCCAGCTCCCAGTCTGGCAGGAGGGCTGCTGTGACGTGGTCTGTCTGTGGTAGTAGATTGCTTCTTGCCCCCTCACAATGCTCTAGACAGAATGCTGTTCTTCTGTTTCCATCATCAAAAGTCTATATTAAGTGCCTACCTATGTGGGCTGCTCCGCTGAGCAGGGTCTGGAGACACAGGGCAGATGTGGCCCTGCCCCCTCAGGGAGTTTCACAATCTAACCCAGACATCACAGAGGCTTAGAGAGATCAAGGGCACACAGACAGTGAGTCGCAGGTGAATTACAGTAATATCGGGGACGAGAAAGAGATGCATGCTTAAAAGCGGCTAGTGTGTGGGGTGCCTATTCAGAGAGACAAGTGGATGAATTTGCTACCTTTTCCCCAATTAGTCAGAGAAGGTTTCTCTCCTGCTGCTGCAGACCAAGTGAGAAGAAATAGATTTAGGCTGAGTTTAGACAGCTGGAAGCGGAAGAGATGTGAGACACACGGATACCTTAACAAAGAGGTGAAACCACCTCCCAGGCTGGGTCAGCTGTGGAGCCCCTGGAGTGGGTACAGAGATGGAATCTACCATGGCAGTGTGGTGATGGGGCATCTGTTTTGGACCTAACGAAAAGCAGGAAATGAGTCTGTAAGAGATTAACAATCTTGGTCTGCCTCCCTTATTCTTCCTAGGGTTCATTTCCCTGAAGCTCTGAGTTCAGAAGGGGCAAGAGTATGTGGAATATTTTAGTCAGTGTTTTGGGATCTCAGAAAATAAGAGAAGGGCTTTGCAGGGCTGAAGGGTGCCTGGAGACCCCAAGATGCAAGGAGAACCCTGGGGATGGAGATCAAGCAGAACATTTTAGGAGAGACCCAAATGGTATATTATTTTTCTTAGAAATATGGTTCAATTTTACATTTCTTTCTGTGATTAATTAACTAATATCTGTATCCACAAAGAATAGACCCATCCCTAACATTTATGGACCCCAGGGTAAGAGTATGGATGGAGGCCCACATATCATAGACCAAAATATTTAAAAGTAATAAATCCAGCTAACAAACTATTAAACAAAGTGCATTTTATCCTTCTATCCTGACAAATATACCTTCAAAACAACCTGGAAGACAGATTTGAATTTAAAACTCTTCGAGTCCTCTGAATTCTGTACTAGCCAAATGAGGATATCTGGCCCTTGGTCAACAGGCCACTCTGATCTGATTCTCTTTCCACTGCTGGCTCCATCCTGCACCATAATAAGCCTTGGACACACATGTGTGGGCACACCCACTGGCTTGTCCAGGCTCTATCTATACCACCTCCAAAGAGCTTCCTCTTGCCCCTCTCCCTTTGATTCTGAAGAAAGAG